GGGGAGTGTCAGGAGGACGGAGCCAGGCTCTTCTCGGTGACGTCCAATGATAGGACAAAGTGCAGTGGGTACAAGCTGGAAAATAGAAGGTTCCACAAAAATATTAGGAAAAACTTTTTCCCTGTGAGGGTGACAGAGCCCTGGCACAGGCTGCCCAGGGTCGTCTTCTCTGGAGACATTGAAAACCCGCCTGGATGCGTTCCTGTGCGATCTACTGCAGGTGATCCTGCTCTGGCAGGGGGGTTGAACTAGATAATCTTTTGAGGTCCCTTCCAACCCCTGACATTCTGTGATTCTGTGAAATTACATTAATCTTATGGAGCTGTTGGAACACTCTGGTTATAGTCTAAATTCTGTATTTTGTAATTAACCTTCTTCACATTTCTCTCTATCACAGTTTGGATATTTATTTCCATGAGGCTGGATGCTTGCATCTTTAGACTTTATATAATATGCTGCATGTAATGTTATTATACTATTTATTACTGTTAGGAATTGTTCTGCAGAATTCTCAGTTTGTAACAAAATTGAGTAACTTTCATATCTTTCATATCTTTCAAATGTAAATTCTGCTTTTGTTGTCCTCATGTTGAATTGATGAGGAAAAAATAACAGGGTATTTCTAAATGATGCATGTCTAAATGCTGATATGATGATTGGAGAATGTTTTGATAGAAAGTATTTCGTTTTCAGGTCCTGGGAAAAGATCACCCTGATGTTGCCAAACAGTTAAATAACTTGGCTTTATTATGCCAGAACCAAGGTAAATATGAGGAGGTTGAATACTACTATCAGAGGGCGCTGGAAATTTACCAGACTAAGCTGGGACCAGATGATCCAAATGTTGCAAAAACAAAGAATAACCTGGTAAGCCTTTTATAAAGTAAATTGAAGAAAAAGTAAAATTTTTCTGATGAATTGAAATGCACCTTCGTTCAGCATGTGTTGTATTTATTATTTATCAAGCTAAATAAAACGGTGTGCTGATATATTTTTGGGGGATATTTTGTTTTTAGGCCTCCTGCTATCTAAAACAGGGCAAATTTAAGCAAGCGGAAACTTTATACAAAGAGATTCTTACTCGCGCTCATGAACGGGAGTTTGGCTCTGTAGATGGTAAGAAACTGAGTCCCTAGATTTGAATGTATGTTTCATTTTCGTAGTTATAAAATAGATTCTGAAGGAAGTTAATTGTATCTTGAATAAAAATGTTATCTGCTTGAGGTAGACTTCAAAAGTGAGATTAGATGTGTTGAAGTATATTCATCATAAGAAAGTATTTAGATAAAGCAATAACACTTGATTCAAAAAGCGAATTTTTCTTTCGTGAGGTTTATGTTTATGAATTGTATTTCTCGCATAATTTAGTTTATGCCAAAACAAAACCAATTTTGTTGTTTTCTCAGAGGCAGAAAAATGTATATCACTTTCAAGTCACAGGAAATAATCAGTGCAGATTTTTTTAATGATATAATAAATATATTGTTAATGTAGTGAGTCTTCCACTAATACGTTTAAAGAATAGGGAAATTATTTAAATTGTGAGTAGCATTTGACTTCAGTGTACAGTGTATCTTACCAGCTGTATAAATCACAGTGAATATTTTGCATTGCATTCCATGACAGGAGCACATGCACCACTTAGTAGATGTCAGAACAGTTGTTACGGTAAAAGAAAAAAACGTGTGCTAGCACAGAACTAAGTACCTGCCAAATCAACTTGAAAACTTCTCAGAAGTAACTATTTCTAAGTTCAGAATCAAAAAGGAGACAGAATTGTAAAACTATAAAAGAAGGAGCGCAGGTTTTATTTATCTGCTGCTTTTAATATGGACAGTAAGCTCTTCCCTGGTGGTAATAGTATAGTTCCCTGGTTCACAACTTCATTTCAGAGGGATGAAAATCAAACAATGAGCACTTTGTAGTTTTGTACTTCTATAAAATATTTTCTTCTGTTTCGTCAGATGAAAACAAGCCTATCTGGATGCATGCGGAAGAGAGAGAAGAATGCAAAGTAAGGCCATTGTAAAAAATGTTTTTTGGGCACTTTTATTTAATTACTTTACAAATCACTAACTTTTCTTCAACATTACTTGAAAGCAAAAGGATGGCACTTCCTTTGGAGAGTATGGTGGCTGGTACAAAGCTTGCAAAGTTGACAGGTGGGTAATCTCTTTACAGGACAAGCAATATGGCAATACTCAGAATTCAGAAATGTCAGCTTAAAGCATGTTTTAAAATGAAACTAAACCAGCTGATTGCCTGAGAGTGTAAAAACTGAAGGACTGGAAGTTCAGGCCCCAAGACTGGGATTCAGGAAAACAGTAGCAGTTTTCAAGTCCCGAGGCTGCTTTAAATCTAGGCTGGTTAGATCTAGTAAGTGACATAAAACTTGTGTTCTTGTCAGTCCTTCACATGGAAGCACAGGTCACCTTCCTCTCTTTTTATACCATTGCTTGACACAGATGCTCTCTCTGCCCCAGCAAGACCTGTAGAGAGGGCCAGAAGCAAAAAGTACACTGTAAGTAACTGAGCTTTGAGTTTTCTGGCTGGCATAAGAAAACAAATTTAGACTGCCACAATTCCACGTTATTTGAGTTTCGAAAGCTTGAGGAGTGTAGTTGTGTGTGAATGAAAGCGTACTTTAAAATGGAAGAGAAATGAGGACTTAGCTTGTATGGTACTTGGTGAATTTTTTTTGTTTGCTTTAATTTTGCTCCTTAACTCCTGGGGTTTTTTTTAACATGCAAGGGGTAAAATGTGGAAAAAAACCCCTGCACCTAGTACTGATGATGCTCAGTGAGGGTTTTTCATTTCTTTATTTGAATTCTTATATTTAACAAGCAACAGAACTTTTGTACTGTTGAAATCTGCTCTTTTTTCTCCATGCTGAACTCTGGGTGCAATACATTTTGTTAGTTTGTTTTTCATGTACATTCATTCTAATGCATGAGGAAATCTTTTCTCTGCTGTTACTGGAGCAAAACTTTATGCAACAATACTGTGACTGAGCTAATTCTCCCTGTGTCATTGAAACAAAAGTGTCTTGTTGGAGTGTGAGACTTGTTAATGGAATGTGCAATTTATTTTTTTTTCCTTTATTGTTCAGGCATAGTTTGAATACATAAAAACTGCAAATAGGTACTAAGTAAAAGCTGATGAAAGGAACTGTTAATTTGTTTTGTGACTAACACATGCTGCAGTAATGGTCACTGTATGCATGAGTAGGCATATTTTCCGGAAACTTCACAATTATTCAGTTGGACACACTCAGATTGAGCTAAATTTTCACCTCAAGGTGCATCTGAGAAACACAAGGACATAGCATTCCAGTTTTTTCTTCAAAAGAGCTAAAATGGAGTTACTAAATCCCGGTGTCATGGCTGTTGACTAGTCATAATGTGAGCCATTAATGCACTTTGAAAGGGGTTAACAGGTTTTTTCATTTACATGCTGTATTGTGTATTTCAAGAGAGACTTATTAAATAATTAGAAAAATATGGTCAATATTTAAGTTTGCATTAATTGAGCAGAGTTTAGTGGTGTGTATATATATATATTTTTTTTTTCAATAGTCCAACAGTAACAACTACCTTAAAGAACCTTGGGGCACTTTACAGACGACAGGGCAAATTTGAAGCTGCTGAAACATTAGAAGAGGCAGCAATGAGATCTCGTAAACAGGTAAGTATGAAAGCTCACCTTAACAATATTTCTGCATTGTGGTTGTGCAGATTTTCAGCTTCAGTATCTATTGTACGTGCAAAATATATAAACTTTTAGCTATTCAGCATCTGATGCCTGGTGTCTCTCTCTAATTTCAATGTGAACTGGTGATAAATCGATAGCATCTTTGCAAACTAAGTAGTTGCTTGGGCAGTGGCATTGGGGGGCATGATTTGAAATTGTGGGTGAAATTGTGTCAGCCAGCAGTCCTCAGCTGGCCGTGTGTGTCCTGGAAACGAGACTGTAGCTAGAGGAAAATGCTGAATTTCTGTTGATGCTTTCCTTTGCCATTAATGCTGTTCTGTTTTTAATAAGGAACTGTCAAACTTAGAACTTTTCTGGTTTTGCTTACAACTGAGTGGCTGGTGCAGACCTTCGGAAGATAATTATAAATTTATCAGTTGCTGTTTCTGTTATTTTTGCAAACCAATGCATATTACAGTTTAAGGGGGAGACTTACTCTTCTAATACGAAGGAGTCTCTGTGCTCTCAAATCTGCTGTTCGAGTAGCCCCTTCTCAGTCTTAGAATGTGGCAGAGTTTGTTTTTGTTGGTGTTTTGTTGGCTTTTTTATTTTCCATTCCCTTTTGGATGATTTGATACAATATCTTTTTTATAGAAGTAGGTAAGGGTGGACAGGCAAACATGGCTTGACAATGAGGGTTAAAATGGAAAGCAAAATAAGAAAATTTAAGTGAATTAAACCAAAAAAACTTGGACAGTTCAATTTTAATTTTGTTTTTATGCAATAGTAAGCAGGATTTGTTTTTGTTTTTTTTCTTCAGAAGTCTTTTGTTTGGTTGATTTTTCTTATATGTCCATGTAAAATTCTAAACTCAAATTTTGAATTCAAGTAAACTGGCTTAGGTTATGGACCATATCTTGTTTATAATGTGCCGTGTTTTACTGGTTATACTGATTTGAAGTTGTGTTTTAGAGAATGATGCTACAGGGTTTGATGTATATAGAAGCAGATTTCTGGAAAAGGGAGAGAGGAAAAAAGTTCCTGGCAAACCTCACATTCTTCTGGTGAATTCAGCAAGTTTTGTTTGATATAAAGTGGCAGAAGTTCCACAAAAAAAGACAGAAGCCTTGCGAGTGTTTTCCAAATAAATGGAATTAAACTGGTAAGAGGAAAGTATAGATCTGGAAGAAAAGTTCTTCAACAAGGAAAATTCAAGGCTGGGGAGGAAGTAGTTTTGGAATGGAAGTGATTATTTGTGAATTAAGGATGAGAGGGTCTTGCTATTAGAGAAGCCTCTTTTAGAGTCTCTGTTTCATCAGCCCCCTTCTGGCCTGCAGGTACCACTGCTCCTTGTCTCCCTTTTCCGTGGGGCCTGTTGATGGCGTGCTGCTTCTACTTTATTGTTATTAAGCTTGCTTCAGGTTTTCATTGGCACATCATATCATCATCGTCAGGGCTAGGCTTCGCAAATGAAGATACGGGAAGGGCTCTACCCACACTTGCTACAAGGGCGCTGATGGCTAAAAAGGCCGATGCAGGATAGGCAAGTCCGGTTACAAAAGGTACAGCGGAAAGTCTCCTTAGGCGGTATTGGCGAGACATGGTTCTTTCTGCGTTGCCTTTTCTCCTCGAGACTAATTCTACGTGAGTTCTCAAAGGAGGCAGCAGCGTTATGGATGGGGTGTCTCCATGTCTCCCGATGGGAGGCCAGATGGTAGTCAAGATGGCCAAAACTGAGGTATTGTGTCAGAGAGTCCTTGTATCTCCTCTTCGGGGTTCCTCTGTTGTGGCACCCGGTGGTGAGTCCACTGCAGAGCACAACCTTAGGGAGGGGGTGATCCTCCATCCTGGACCTCCGGGGTTAGTCTCGAGCGACCAGTGTCCTGACCCGTCTGCATGCAGGGTTGGGTCTGTGGCTTCCAGTGCACCTTATCACCTGCCGTTTCATCCCTTGCCTGTCGCTACAGGACTTTACAAATGGGGGTGTAACCTTCAAGCCTGCTCAGCGTGCGCAGAACTGGCCCCACTCTTTACTCCTAAGCTTCATCTGCCGTGGCCTAGCGAGCTTGGATGGTGACAGCAAAGTCCTCAGGACGTAGGTTTAGTTAGAGTATCCTTCTCTTAGATGGATGGCCTTACAGGGCTAAACGAGCTCCATCTGCCCGGGTTTGGAGTTGTCCTTCTCCTAGGATGGTTGCTGGGAGGCCACCGAGCCCATCCTGCCCGTGGACACACTTGGTCTGACCCTTCAGTTGAGACCTGTCTGGCATGGGAGACCCTATCGGAGGCATATGCCACCGCCAGCATAGCTCACAGCCTCATAAGGGCACCCAAGGTTCTCCCTCACGGCAAGGGGGTGTCTGTGGAGAAGGGCACATCATATCCCACCTAACCGTTGCACCTTAATATGTCATGTTACACACAGCACTGTATTTGGACATGTAGGAAACAATGCTGTCTTACTAACAGTGTTTAACACTACCTTCTTATTATTGTTTTTTGAAGTAAAGAAGGATGGTCAGGGTTAACACGTTTACCCTTTTGAGCTAGAAGTAAAGAAATACTTTTGTTCCCAGATGTGGAAAAGCATCAGTCCTCCATAGTTCTGTTCTTCACACATTTTTTGTTTGATTTAGCTGTTGGGATATGTATGCTGGATTTTTGAAGACCAGTGAAGTTCTTTGTCCTTAATCTTTGATGACAGAATCAGGCAAACTGGGAAAGTACAGTTTGCTGTCTCTTGATTTTTTTATTATTTTTTTAAAATATGAAGTAAATGAACTGATAGCATTGGAACAGACCCTAGAGTCTGTATATGATACATCATCTCCTTAGTCGTGACTTAAGTATTTTTTTGCTTTTTGTGTTCTGTGCTGCTAAAGGGATTGATGCAAAAGCCATTTTGAGCCTATTACTCTCTGAGAGCTCCAGCCACTTTTCTGCACCATATGGGCACATGGAAGTGAAAATATGATCATTGTATGTTGCTTTCATGCCCTTGTGTGTAGAACTCTATTAGGGAGGGCTCTTCTGCTCTTCACTTAGTGGAAAGCAGCTATATGGGAACCAAAAACCAGATTTCTCCATGCCAACAAAAAATAACTTTAATTCTTAGATACTTTACTTTTAAGTAGAATTTTTGCCTGATTTTCACTTTCTGTGTTATGGTAGACTATGGATTTGTCACACAGATCCCCTGCTGCTTTTGCTGCCTACGCTGCACAGTGACAGATGCAGAATATTTAAGGCATTCATCTGGGATCTCTTCCTGTCAGCAAATACCATTTGTGATGTGGAATAGGTTTATTAATAAGAAAATAAAACTGAAAATAAGTATGATTTAATAAGCTCAAATGCTGGGTCCTGCCCTTCGGCCTCAACAACCCCCAGCAGCGCTACAGGCTTGGGGAGAAGTGGCTGGAGAGCTGCCAGGCTGAGAGGGAGCTGGGGGTGTTGATGGACAAGCGGCTGAACATGAGCCAGCAGTGAGCCCAGGGGCACAAGAAGGCCAACAGCATCCTGGCCTGGATCAGGAACAGTGTGGCCAGCAGGAGCAGGGAGGGCATCGTGCCCCTGGACTCAGCTTTGGTGAGGCCTCACCTCGAGTACTGTGCCCAGTTTTGGGCCTCTCGCTACCAGAGGGACATTGAGGTGCTGGAGAGGGTACAGAGGTGGGCTGCCAAGCTGGTAAAGGTTTTGGAGCTTGTGTCCTACAAGGAGCAGCTGAGGGATCTGGGACTGTTTACCCTAGAGAAGAGGAGACTGAGGGGACCTCACCGCTCTCTGCAGCTACGTGAAGGGATGTTGTAGAGAGGCAGGGGTTGGTCTGTTCTCCCTAGTGGAGAGTGATAGGACAAGGGGAAATGGATTTAAATTGCACCAGAGGAGGTTCAGGTTGGATATTAGGAAGAATTTCTATATTGAGAGGGCTGTCAGCCATTGGAACAGGCTGCCAAGGACGGTGCTTGAGTCACTGTCCCTGGGAGTGTTTAAGAGACGAGTGGATGTTGCATTGGGGGGAATCGTTTAGTGGGTTGATAGGGCTGGGACAAAGGCTGGACTCGATGATCTTCTAGGTCTCTTCTAGCTGATACAATTCTATGATTCTATGATTTGAGCTTCATTACCTTCTAGTTCCTCTGTTCAAGATTTTTTCTTTATTTTTAGTGCAGGGTTTTCTTAGAAGGTATTTTTTAACACTTTTAAGATGTTTAAAGGATTATTTGTTAATTGATGGGCATTCTTTAAGACCAAGTGCACATATTTCATTGACCATATATATAGTCTGTTCTATTGCAAGCTTATTTTTTATTTGATTTCTTTCTGAGATATAAATGATACTACTGTGCCAAGTGTCATTTGTCATTATTTTTGAATAATGCAACCTGTGTCTTGGGTATTCAGACACTTGCAATGTTCTTTCTGAAGGTGGCTGAATACTGCACCATTTGGTAGGTGGAAAGCTGAGAACTGTGTTGGTTGTTCGTGACCTGTAAGTTGTTTAAATATTAAGCTAGTGGCCACATAGCTTCAGGTAAGTAACATGAACACCACGAGGCTTTGACGTGTGGTAGGGAAGGAGGAAAAGAAGTCACTGAATTCTCAAACTACCAGACTGCCTGCTTGTTGCTACATTGATTCCTGCAGTGTGTAAAGGGCATCTCAACTGCCCTTTGCAAGCAGAATCGAGGTGATGGAGTTAGGGGTTGATTTAACTTCTTTCTTGATGTGGTTATTGCATGTAGATTAACAGAGTTTGTAATAAAAAAACCTTTTCCCATATTATCTAATTCTCAGGGTCTTGACAATGTTCATAAACAGAGAGTTGCTGAAGTGCTGAATGACCCTGAGAGCATAGAAAAAAGGCGAAGCCGGGAAAGCCTCAATGTTGATGTGGTAAAGTACGAGAGTGGTCCTGATGGAGGCGAGGAAGTGAGTATGAGCGTAGAATGGAATGGGGTAAGTACAGTACACAGTTTAAGAAAATAGCTTAGAGAAATTATCACCTTAACAAACATGGTTGTCCATTTACCAGCCTATCATGTTTTCAGTAGTTTCTTGGTTGATCTACTTGGTATTTTGTAATTGTGCAGAATCAATTAAGAAAGGAGTAACATTTTGTTTATCATAACGTAATGTAAAAAACCTGTAACATTTTAAAATTTTTAAATATCCTTTTGTTGTTTTCCGGAATGGTGAAATTTCAAGAATCTCAAGCAGTTGTATTTAACTCTTAACTTGTTTAATGCTGATTGAGTGTCCTGGTTATGGTCTGGTGTACAATTGCTTGTCAGTGGTTTCTTTTTACTGATAGAAATACTCTGCAATTAACTTACTTTTGCTTTTGTCCATCTGATGCCATATTTGCCCATATTTTAAATGTTTCTTGAAAAGTACTGCATCTGTTGGAATCACAAAGAACATTTGTTATGGAGATGTATTAAGTGTTAGCTGTTTTAGAGTAAATTAAAGTGATCAGTCTAACACTGAAATAATTCTACTCTCCTCCTTAACCTACTTGTTAGAGAAAAGTATGTAGCTTTTCAAGCTTCTACACAATCCATTTTAAGAGGCAGTGTGATCACATAACAATGTGATAGTAACTTCACATTTCTTAACTATTAATCCCACTTTCCCATATTTCAATTGGACTGGAATCAGGGCTTGTTTCTGTTTGTTTCCCATATATTGGCTTCACTGTATCATGCTGATTGTCATAAAGGAAAACCAGATCTATAATGTGATGACATACACATTTTTCTAACCGTTGTTTTCTTTGATTTGAAGAACCAGTGCAAGCTTTCAGTTATTGATCTATTTGCTTCTGTCACCAGCTTCCCCGTGCTTTATCCCATTGCTGGCAATGGGATACGTATTGCACTCTTAACTAGCTCCCAGCTGCAGTTCTGCTGAAAATATTCTGTTAGATTATAGAAGTGGCGTTGCCTGCTTTTGGTGTATGGGAGGGGAAGTAGCCTACTTTGCAGTATTGACTGTCTGAAGTTTCTTTTCTCTTAAAATAGCAATCTTTTCCTCTTATTTTAGCCACATGAGGCAAAGTTTAGCATGCCAAAGAAACATCGATAAAACACAGACTGCTTTAGTCTTAAAGGAGAACGTTCTTTCTGTCTTTGCTTTTGTCTCTTTATTAATGTTTTCTTGGCATTGGTGTTCTCAGTGCCAAGACAGTCAATCAGCATCCATTGTGAATAATAATACTGCATCATTAACAAAGCTAAAGTAAGGTTGGATAACTCTTTTAATTACTATTTTGCCCATTCAGTGTTAGAACTGTGTACTGTACTCTTCCCTTAATTTTTGCTGTACTTTGCGTGACTATATGTTCTAAATGGATTAAACTTTTTTTCTGTTATTGACGTTAATTAAACAAGCATGCAGGTTTTGGATTGAAAGGGTCTTCTGTGGAAAAGCAATAGACAGTATTTCTAGGTCAGTATTTGAATCAAATGCAGTGATAAAATTTGATCAGAAAATTAAATTTTGACTTCTCAGGGCAAACAGACTTTTCATTTTTAGAGTGTTGAGGTGGTATTGCTTTATTCTCATCTTCATCATTTCTTTTTTCCCCTCTTAAGAGAAGTTATTTTATATTATACGTTTTGCATAAAGTGGGCAACTCTCTCTCCCTCTACCCTACTAGTGCTTCTATCCCAGTGCTGTTCTTCCTTCTATTTTAGATTGTGTAGGTGTTTTTTGGTTGGTTTTTTTTACCCTTACGTGTTCACTCCAGACAAAATATTCTGATTCGTAACATATAATAGAATTTTTTTAATCAGGCAGATTCCTCTGTGGGCAGAGCCCACAATAAGCAAAAAAATGTGATCCTCATTGAGTGACATAAAAATTGGCAATTAATCTTGGCCATAGAAATGGATATCTTTGCGATGTTTTGTTTGTTTACACTGGATTTAGAGATTACTTGTTATCCTGAGCTTAAGTTTTGCAGGTTTTTCGGTCAAACATGCAGTAATTGTTTAACTTGGGAGTTCAGTGGTTTTATTGCACATTGATTTGAAGTACGTAAAAGCTTGTCTGCTTATTCTTAATATACCTAGTTAGCATAATAAATTGTATACTCTATAATCACTAAATTTGTTTTGCCTTTGTTCACTGGATCATTGTCACCACTATAGCATCACTGCTTTGTGACCATGGGAATAATTAGCCTTTTCACTGACCTAATACTTCTGATTAGAATTTAGACTTGAATTTATTCAATCCTGCAAAGCTGAAGTTTATTTTTTAAAAAGTGGGAACAATATATGCAATTTAGTTTGAAACATAAATACTTGACTAGATTTTGATCTTCTAATTACTTCTTAGCAAGGCATTTTGCCATGTGCAAGAATAATTTTAATTATTGTTCATTCCAGTTGCTACACGTAAAGGCTCTCAAAGCAGTTATCTTAAGACTATCTGTAATAGTTTCTATACTTAACACTGAGACTGGAAAGTGTGTAAATTGAACCACAATTTCTAGGTACACAGAGATACATTCTAAATTTCTAGGTACACAGAGATACATTCTAAAAAATACTCATGAGGTCAGTTGGATCATAATTCCTTAAAGGAATGAAGAGAATTTTGTCTGGAGGTTAGGGGAAGTCCTCTTTCTTCTTGCAGTTTTGTTTGGACAAAAATTCCTGACAGAAGTTAAAGCTGAAATGAATGCATCTTGCTCTGTTCCTTTCTTCCATTTTTTTCCCCCCCTCCCTCTTTATTTTTCTGTTAATGTCAGCTGAAAAAAGCACACAACATCTTTACTTTGTTTACAAAATATAATACTGAAGCTACTCCTTCTTAAAGGTGTTTTGTATTTGATACAAATGCTGATTTAAAGAATGCCCGGCATCACTCATGCTTGTTTCTAAGTCACATATTAGGGGATACAGGTGAAACTGCGTGTACGTTCTGGTAATTGCAAGGGCCTGCCCTTTGTCCCTGAGGGCAGTCCAGATAATCTGGAAAAAAATGGTTTTGAATGCGACCTAGAAATACTGTAAAGGGAACTGTTCAAAATTGAAAACTGTTGAATTTTTCCCAACAGTTTCATTCAGTTTTTCTCTCTCCGTTTCTGACAGGCCTAGATGCCTTTTGTGATTCTTATACTGTCTCCTGCATGACGGGCGTGCACCATCTTCAAGCTTTAACTTCTCTCTTCAGTACTGACTGCTGTGTTTTAGCAAACCCCTTAAGATTCTTGTCAGAGCTACACTTCCCTGTAAACTGGCCATTCCTTCAGTGCTGGTGTCTTTTTTTGGTTTTTCTATTTCTGTACATGTGTAGCTTTGCCAGATATGTATCTAGTCATACAAAATGTTATTACAACCATTTGCTGTGTAATACATTAGTAAAAAAAAAAGAGCAAAACCAACAAGTAACAATGACCTTTATAAGTAGCTGTTCACTATGGAAAAAAGGTAGTTAAAAGTATCACACAAGGTATTATTGAAATGGCATGGTGGTGATCTTTACAGCAGAAAAACAAAACAAACCCCCGTAAAAGTAAGGCATGTTCTCCAAGTGCTTTAAAATGTATTTAGAGACCTATTACATGGTGAACATCAATATGGAACTCTGGATGTCTTCACTTATTACTCTAAAGTAGCATTGCTGTTTAGTCTTTGTGTGAGATTTTGGCAATTATGCTTTTCTCTACTAATCTTGGTGTTCAGTGATTTGTGTATTTGTCTTTCTAACTTCTAATAAACTCACTCCAACTCAGGTGTCTGTCTCTGTCTCCTTAGTACTTCACTTTCTTCTTTTACAGTTCTCCTTTTATAATCACATAGGATTTATATGAAGGAGGTGGTCACTTCTAATCTTACTAAACTGTTGGCCTTATTTAAGAGTAAAACAATTAAAAATAGAATTGTAGTCAGTTGGAAGTTTCTTTGGATTAGCACAGCAATGTAAAACCGGAATGCAATGCCCAAAAAATTAATTTCACCGTGTTTTACACTTTCTTTGGTGAAAGTTTAAAAAGAATATATTTAACCATACATGCTCCTGATCAGAAGTATTTTTGAAGTGTTTTAGGATTAATTAAACACGTTTGCAAGTAAAATAGATGTTTAGAAAGAATAAACCAGTTTTTTCTTAGACTGATGGAATACTTTTGCTTGGGGCTTGTACTCTGTTAACCACAGTGTACTCGTATGAAATGGTAACATGGTGATGGTGAACTGTTTGACTACTGTGGTGGATTTTTATTAATTGTTATGAACCATGGCTTGAGCATGTCTTCATGTTTCAGAAATATCTGTTACAGTTTAGAAGGAACCCTTTTGTTCTGGTAAAGTTGTAGCTTTATGGTATTAGGTGTTTCAGTAATTGTACCAAGTATCTATTAATAGCAATTAGAAAATAATAATCAATGAAATGTTTTTGAGCCAGGCTTGGGCGAGGGCAACAACCTTTTGCAGTTTCACATGTGTTCAATTTTTTTCAGGATGGCACTGGATCTTTAAAGCGCAGTGGTTCCTTTAGCAAACTGCGGGCTTCCATTAGACGCAGCAGTGAGAAGCTGGTTAGAAAGCTGAAGGGAGGAAGTTCACGAGACAGTGAACCAAAGAATCCAGGGTAATTATCTGTTCTTAGCTGTGCTGGTGTGCCCTTGTGCTGTGCCCCCGCTGTAGCCTAGTGCAGTACCTAGGGCAGTGCTTTCTTCTCTCTTTAGCTAACTGCTTATCATAGAGATTTCTATCTTAAAGAAAAATAAAGTGGGAAATAATTTCTTAAACTTAGAGCAAAAGTTCTGTAATACCTGGGGAATTATATTTGCTTTTAGGAGTTTATTCAATTTTAACAGTGTTTTTTTTCCCGTTTTTACTGGTTTACCCATTTGAAGAATAGAAAAGCTTCATAGAATTATTGATAAATGTTATTTACCTACAAAATTCTCCCTTTCACACAGCAGCAAGAATTTTGATAATGATTTTTACAATAAAGGCTTGAATACAGTAAACCCGCAACTGACATTCTTGATACAGCTTAGTATCTTGATATATTCCTACTAAACCTTTATATATTGCTGTGAGTATAAAGAGAATTACTAACTTGAGCCCTTCTCAGTTTCTCTTTTTGGAAAACCCAGAGAGCAGAGGAAGGTGATGGAAAACTTGAACCTATTTGTGCATCTCATTAACATTTTGGCCTCAGTGAAGTCAGTGGTAAAAATTTAAATTTTAGTGAATCTGACTTTCCACTCTTTCGTATTTACCGTATGATTACAAATTTGGTTTTACATAATATTTCTAATAATACATTAAAATATTCATCATTTATTGGCTCTTGCAGAGAAGTTGAAATGTTAAAATGTGTTACTCTTTTTTATAATGGCACTTGTGGGTGCTGCTTCTCACCACCACCATAACTGCAATCAGTTTTGCAGGTTTTCTTTCCCTTGCTGTGGAACACTGCAATTCATTTAGTTGTCAGGAGACTGTATGGCAACGTGAATTTGAATTTACACTTTAAAACAGTTAAACTGGAGAACCTGGAGTAACTTCTCATGGAGTAACTGGATCTATGAGTAATATAGTAGATGATGATGATGCTGGTAATACCCGAGGCAGTCTGTGTTTTTCTCAGTGTTTCAGTGAAGTTTTGCTTTATTGTTTTAATGTGGCTGTAAAACATTGCATACAGCTGCAATATATGTAGAATTCACTTCATCACACATTTGTTTCACATTCAGCCTGATCTGATTTTTAGAATTGTTAATTAAAATTTCACACTTCAGCTGCCAGAGACTTGAAGGCATTGAGTCAAATTCAAGGTCAGAAATCCCCTTTCAGTTATTGATACATCATTAAGAACTGCCTCTGAGATGATAGATTGGGAAGTCTTTGAAAAGCATGTGATTAGAAGAAGGAAATAAGAAAATGTAAAATGCTTCAGGGGAAATAAGCAAACACTAGGCAAAATAAAAGGAATTTCCTTCTTTGTCTTCGGTATTAGCATTTTTATATGTCAGTTCTCTATTTCTATTCAGTTCTGTCTAGAATTAGTCATCATAGTGTAGTTATATTCTTGCATGAATAGATACACATAGCTAATTTTGCATTTTCTCCTAATTTTTGTGAGAGACGGAAAATTTTTCAGTTTCTTAGAAGCTGAGAGTTTTATTTCTTGTTCTCTGTTGGAAATAGAGCTAATTTTTTTCTGCAGGTAAAGTAACCGTGTGAATATAGGTGTAGAAAATTATGCCTCCATATAACTGAAAACATTTGGCTTTGCAGTGTCCTGTAAGAACTCCTCTGCCTTTTTATTGCCTGCACTTCAGTAGCATTATTTGACCAACGTAGAAGTAATCTGCTCACTTTAATTACATTGTGGAGTCTGTATGATCGGATTTCCTCAAATAAGGGCATTAAAGTGAAACAAATTTGGAAACAAAGCAATATCTTTCTTGCTTTTCTATTTTGACAAAATACTCTTGTTTTTCACATCACTGCAGTTCTCAAAGAATAATTTAATCTAAAAACTTGCAGTAAGGGTTTGTGTTGTCAGGTTTTCATGTAGACATGCATGTTGAATATGTAAGACTAATTATTACAATTTCTGTTCTTGTAAGATACAGATGTTTTCTAATCCTAATTTACATTAGCTGGTTTTAATAACAAATGTAAAGATTCCTTTATTAAACACCAGCTTTGTAGATCATAAAGCATAGGTGTAGATATTGATATTCCAGGAAGTCATTTTGGTTTCGTTTTCTGAAGAAACTTTAGAGTTGATTTTTTTTTACCTCTTTAATACAAGAGGGATCCAGTTTTTGTTAAGCAAACCTTTATTTACAGCATGTTTGATAGCTGAATATTAGGATACTGACATAGCATATACGTAAATAATTTTTGCTGTGAAGTCAGCCACTCTAGGTAGAAGACGGAGGTGCCTCCTTCCTTACCAGTGCACCTCTGCATTCCTTGCCTGTGTGACTTTATTTTTAAATTGCTTTACACCTGTTGCTTATACTGTGCTTCGGTAAATATTAATTGAAAGTGTTGGTATAATTCTGAATGAGTAATACCCAAATAGAAATACACTAATGTCACAGCATGAAAGAGTTTTCATGTTGCTTGGTATGGAAGTATGAAGAGAATAAAGTGGAAAACTCATCAGGGAAATTTTCTTTAAAGTCTTGCAAAAGCCTTTTTGACAAAGAACAGATCTCTTAAGAACTGTTCTTTGTAACATACAATACCTGGAGTATGATATTAGTTCTTGTTTATCATATTTCAGAATTCAGTTCCGTAATAATTCTACTTAGTTAGCGGCACGGTAGATTTATTTTTTTCACTTTTAAGATTTTGATTGTGCAGCAGAACAGTTAAGTTTTGTAATTAAATGGAGAAAAATTACTTACGCACCCTGTAAACAACTGCATGCTGTTTGTGCAATCCTGTTTCTAACATGGAGGGAATTCAAAGTGTATTTCCCAGAGTAAAGTTTTTAAGTATGTTGATTTTAAAAAACAAACAAACAAACAAAACCAACAAAAACCAACCCCTTCCCCCTCAAAAAAAGCCCAAAATAAAAACACAAAATAAAATCCCAACCCACAGACAAACTACTGTCTCATATGTACGAAAATTAATTGGCACTTCAGCGAGAACCTAAAAAATATTTAAATTCTTAATGGTGGATTTTCTGTTTCCCTGGAATGTTTTCCATAAGTCTTTATGCTCTTTTGAAGAATTTTATGTAACTTTTGTTTGTCTTTTACAGATTAACTTACTTTGACTTCCGTATATAACCTCTGCTGTACGTTTCATTGAATAAATGAGAGGTGTATACCATGCATGAGTCCTTGCTTTGCTGTTGCTAACACTCATGTCAAATATTTTAAATTGTCTGCATTCTAACTTTGGAAATGTTCAGGTTTAATGCTAGGAAAAAAACCAGTAAGCCTGTGTTACGTGGCGGCTCTTGCCAGTGTTTATTAGTGCTTTGGTTCATTATTCTGCTAAGCCTTTGCTTTATGGAAGCGTTTTAGCGTTTAAAACTTGTGCTTGACTTTGACTGTTAGTAGTCTTGCTTCAGCAGAAAGAAAAACCAGTTAATGTAGAAGGTGATGTGTATGGATAAACCTTTCCATGTCCTTGGAAGGCTTTGGGATCTTTGCCTTGGCCATTCATGTCTGAAGCTGTAGGTAGCGCTGCAGGGTTAGAGCCTTGTTGTCTTGTGAATAGTTCTTCAAATGCGTATTCACAACCTTCATTTAGTAGTTTGGAAATAGTGAAAGAACTAGTGAAATATCAAAGCAAAGCTGAGACACTTTGGGATAAAAAATATCAGAAATTTCGGTTGTAGTCACCCAGATGACAAGAAGCATAAGGCTAATCTTAAATTCAATTGCATGCATGCTGTAAAATACGTTAAATTTTGTATATGTTTGAGAAATATAGATAAATTATTAATCCTAGACTCAAACAGCAGTAGATATTAATGTTAATCCAGTGATACTTTGACTGCCCATAGCTCCGATGTAGGCAATTAATTTTTTTTTCCCTGTTGCTCTCAGTACCCAGTATTCTAGGGTTGTCGCCACCGCTCAGAGCATTGTAAAGCCAAAAGCCTAACCAGAGTTAATAGCAGCAACCATCTTATTTCCCTTTGCTTCAAAATGTTTAAAATAAAATGTTTAAAATGCTTTTTGAAATAGATTCTGGAGACTTACTTAGATGAGGCAGAAAGCACTGAACTTATGTTTGTTGTAGCTTTTCCAAGTTAAATGCTGCCTACATGACAAACTTTCACGTTTAACATTTTTTTTTCCTAAACTGTCTGAATGTTTTGATGCTCTTGTAAGAACCTGTGTAAAATTGAAGCTGGAAGTTAGTGATTAAAAATTGATGCTAAGTCAACGTATTGATTTGATAAGCTTTAAAAATGAAATTTTACTTTGAGTTGAAATTAAGTCAGTTGCCAGAAATGTTTAAGCTCTGATGAGCTTGTAAATTTATTTTTTTGTTTTATACATAATTTAATACTGAATATAAACATATTCTAAGTTAAACGTAGTTATCTTGAAGGGTATCCCTCAGATCAGTTTTGGGGCATTGTTAAAACTTCCTTAAAGGTGCATTACTCGTTGTTATACTTGTGTTTTTAGTGCTGTTAGTTTTCAGCTATTCTGATCGGTTTATCCTTGCATGTTCACTGTCCTGGTTGCAGCATGAAGCGTGCCAGTTCTCTGAATGTTCTTAACATGGGTGGCAAGGCTACTGAAGATCATTTTCAAGTAAGAAGCCCTACAATACTCTTACAAAAATAGGTATCATTAGTAGGGTTTGAGATAAAAAGAGTATGATAAATAATAAAATTATGAACTGCTCTTTAAGTAAGATGGTTAAAACATGTGCTTAAGGCATCGTTCCATAACACATTTGGGAATTATGCTTAATTTTAAACAAGTGCTGAAGTCTGACTGGTATAGAGCATTGGCTTTTATAATATCAAGCAGTCTCTGGCTTTGGAGCTTTTTGACTATTACAGTGAGAGGAAGCTTCTGAAATGTTATGTTCTTGTAAATACTGCTTAAAAATACAAGAACTTTTAAAGCCCAGTTACCAAGTAATTTAATTCGGCTCTGTTATTGTAAAGGGCCCAATCATCTTAATTGCCGTAGGTTTTCAGACTCTCTTAAATGCAACTTCAGTTGTTTCTGAGGCTGTACAGGAGCAGTCTCTAAAGGTGTGTCTGATCTGTGTTACGCTTCTGCTAATAGAAAAACTTCTTATTTTGCTTAACTTTATATGGTGTGCTCGACTGCTACTGCCCGTTTCCTGTTTTTCCTATTAAGTCAATGTTTCTTACATTGTCAAAATAAGCTAGCAACGTTCTACGTTCTAAACATTGTTGTGCATTTTACTAACATGTAACTGCAACTAATTTTAGGAGGATAAAACTGCTTCTGTACTAACAAAACTGTATGCGAAGGTATTCATCGCTATTTGTCCTACAGTAGCAAGAAAGGCCAAACTTTCTGGCTCTCATTTTACTGTTGAGTGGCAAAAAGGTGTTTTAACTATATTCTCTCTAATGATTGTACTGCAGAGTTTTCTGTGGTGTGAAATGTATGTAAAACTGTGCTTAGAGCAAAGTTCAGCCCCTCAAAAGATCAGGGTAAAGCATAATTCCTTGCAGCAACAGCACAAGGGTTTCAAAATGCCATGTCCCAGGTGCCCCTGAACTCGATCCTTAGTATATAGTTGTTTTGACTGCCAGAACAGTAATTTATTGCATATGTGTACACTGTGATATTAAAATCGGTTCTCACTTCTTGTGAACTTTTGTAGTTCACTTACTACAGTTGGACATGGCAATTCCCATAGATGGGCTCTTGCGTTTCTGGTACGACCTGGGTCAGGATTGTCAATGAGGTATATACAGAGCAATAGATGTTTTTGGTATTGCCAGTTGAAAGTTGGGGGAAAGGTTGTTTATTAGAAACTGAGGAAAAAAAAAGTCCCTCTACCCAAAATGAACAAGACCAGTTCTCCATAGTTTCTCATAATTTGTTTGTACCTGTTTGTTAAAACTAGTAATTTTGTTTATTTGCTTGAAATATGTGGCATCTGCTTAATTTATGTGTTTGGTTTTTTTCCCCCCCCTTCACACAGGAACGAAATAATTGTCTGACAGACTCGAGAGCTCTGAGTGTCAGTCATACTGATTTGGCGCATTGAGATTCTTGGACAGAAGCTAGCTAATACTCCTTTGTGAATAAAGAAGCACTGAGACCTTCAAAGCTTTGGTTCCTCATCGTTATGTATAGGAACACCTAGTTTATAGATTTTGTTGGCTTTTGTTTTTTTTTTTCAATGGACTGCTGTTTTTACTTTTCTAAATAGGGATGATTTTAAGCACAGCATTAGTGGGTATTCTAAAGGAGAACTATATAGATATATATTGCTCATTGCACTTCTCCCATTCATGCTACTTACGTTGATTTCTTTCATAGATCTGAATATTACAGCAGCCAAAAAAAAAAAAGTAAAAATACAAACATATTTAAAGCATACCAAAATGCAAAGAGGTTTAAAAATGCAAGCAAAATTAAATGTGTAGCAGTAAATATATACAGTGCTGGAATGAGAAAAGGATAAATTTATGTCTGTTACTGTATAAATTCAAATTGAACATACTTTGTTGGTATAATGTTAGAAATCTTAGCTGGCAAAACAGCACTCAGACACGACTTACTTAACCACTACGTTGAGCTACTAAATTTTACAGAAGAGATGGTTGGGGTTACGTATAGATAGCATGAATAGCAACACTTGTGACCATAACTTTGATACTTGTTGATATAAGTCTTAGGGCACAATAATCGATGGAGATAGGATGCTTCATGTTGATCAGAAGAAATGGAAAATGTTTTGACCTTTACCTTGTACGGTTGAAGAATACTCGAGTTCTGGACTGCAACTGCCCCAAAGCAGCTGCTGTTGCTCTTAGGGAAACATCAAGCCTCAGGTTGACTTTCTTGCTTGTCCACTGGAATTCACAATGCCATTCTCTGTTAGCTGCAAGTGCTCCAGCATTTCCTTACGCTGATCCCTGATCCTGCCTTTCTCCATAATAGCTGATGACAGCAGAAGCAGGCAAGTGCACACTAGGCTGTTACACTGTGGAGTAACTGCTGTGCAGAGGACCACTCAAATCCAGAGGGCCCCAGTGGAAGCATGAGATGGCCACAAGTGGCAAATAACTCGTTTGGCCACATATCCGTGTTAAATCTACTTACGGTTAATGTATATGCTGTCTGTATACCAGAATGCTGCTGGAACTATGTATGTTTTAAGTATTTTATGGACACTAGATCTCCTTTTGCTTTTCTGTAAAGCTTGTCATTTTGTTCATCTTTTGTAAAAATTCTTATTTGTGTGAAGATGGGTGAGAAAGTAAAAAAAACCAACAGTGCGTGTACAAATGTATTTGTGATCATGGTTGTGAGTTGGAAAATGCTGAACAAAATTAACTTTGGGAAAAGCTGGAATTTTCATTCAATGTTAGCGCCAAGTGAAGGAGGTAAAACATAGGGACATAAGCAAGTTTTAATGTTTTAACAGGCTGTGAAGAGTCGTTAGAATTAGTATTTTGTAGAAGTATTTGACTGGCTTTGCATCTGGTTTTAAGTTGTACTACAATACCCGATGCAAAAAATTGTATATGTAATGCACTTAACTATGTTTACCAGGAGGTACCTTATTAGCATCTCTTTAAAGAAAGCTGCGTATGGTATACCTGCTATAAAACCAGTTTAGAAACTATGAGATACGATGCTGCTAATAGGTAGAAGTTTTAGCACAGAGTAGTGCAATTCATTAATGAACTCGAGCAAGAACAGATTGCTGCTTGGTTACCTTAACAATATATACTCATACAATGTAGACTCATGAGTTTTAATCTTTTATTAAGAGCTTTTTATATAAAAAATACATAATATATATGCTTTTCTTTTTTCCCCCTAAAGCAAAACATTATGTGCACCCACTGATGGATCCAGTTCTCTGGACAAAGCCAGGCTGAGCTAGCTCTGTGCAGGGAACCGTCCATCAGGCTGCTGAGCGGGACCGGCACCTGTCCCTGGCGGATGGGCAGCTGGGGAGGTAGCAGGCGAGTCCCACGAAGCCCTCGCCTCCCTGAACAGCCTGTGACCTTGTCGCCTGTCCCATGGGCCATGCCCCAAGAAACTGCAAACACCCCTCGCTATCAACCCGTTTTGCACCAGCACGGTGCTGCTGTGGTAGGAGCGGCTCAGCGGGGCGTGTAAAACGTGGTTCTGTAGAGTTCAGTGGTTTGCTCGTTATAAAAGTCTAGCTTTTTTGTTATAAAAATCGGGCTTCCAAACCCCACAAAACTATCCGGACGCAGGAGTGATTTTGGTAATAAGAAACAAAGCTTAAGAGAAATGGAGGAATGTGTTTTCTGCATTTATCTTGCAACTTTGAAGGAAAATAACTTTTACCAACTCTCAGCCCCCCCCCCAACTTGTGTAAATAGCAATAAAATATTTAACCATGCCAGATTACAATGCACATTAGTTTTTTTAAAATGCAAGACCATGGTATGGTGATGATGAGGGAACTTTGTTGTTCAGGATCTTACTGTTGGTGGCATTACTAGTACTGTGCTTTTAAATGTTTTAAACCTTTATATAGTATTTTAAAGTGTTGAAACATTAAGTTGTTGAGCTACTGCTTATTAAACAATTCTCACATTTAAAAGGTTAACTTTTTTTTCCAGAGAAGAAACAAATTTCAAGACTTCTCTCATAAACATGCAAGAATGATAGCCAGGTCCCTACAGTTATGAGCCAGTGAGCAGCTGTTTGCAGCTTGAGAAGAACTTGTGAAGTACAAAAAAAAAAAAAAAAAGTTTTGTCTTTGAATCATGAATGAATTACTGTCAGGACATGATATGTACACATTTAAATTTCAGATGGGCTTCCTGGCCTTTATGTAAAGATTTTCTTTCTGAATTTCCTCTGTTCCAGTTGTAGCTAACACTCAGCATAGCAAAGTATAAAACCACAATACCCAATTGTATAATTCTTGGACATCTTCACTACCAAGCTCAAGCAACAGCTCAGATGAAAGAGAGAACTAGAGAAGGCCTTCAAAATTGACAGACATCGTGTTAGGAAAACGACAAGCTTGGTAGTGCTGTTATGTTTTTAATCTAGCATTTTTGACCATGCTCAGAATTGTAAGGGTGAACTTCCATTAAAAACAATGAGGAGTCCAGGTTAGGCCAGTCCCTCTGGATTCGTCTAGAGGTTCATTGTTTTGGGGTGTACGGTCAGTGAGGGTCACACGTAGGATGATTCGAACATTGAATAGTTACTGTTAGGTGCCTGCTGCTCTTCTGTCTATCTTGTGTGCTAGTCTTTAGGAATATCTCTGATATTTGGTTTTGAGTTTAGATCTTGTTGAGTATTATTGTAAAATGTAACTGTTTCATGATTTGCTCCTCTTTTAGAGGAGTAACTGAACTCTTGCTGCGATGTTTGTGCTTGCAGTACTGCAGTGATAGAACATAGCACTTAACAGAAAAACAATTGGACAAGTTATCTAGAGTTTGTACCTCTTCTTAAAATATCCAACACCCTCCATACCCCCAAGCCCTCCTGAATGGTGGTAGTACATTAAAATGGTTTAAAGGTTGAGAAGTACTTCTTTTAAATTGTACCCTTTGAATCCAGTCATTTTGAAAATGATATGGTTCTGTTGTAAATATGTAGTAAAAGGGGTATGCAGTGCTTTGTTGAAAGTGTGTTTACAATACTTGATGAGTTCAAGTTACTTTAGTTTTTGTTATGCAGGTCATGTATGTTGTCTGAAAGCTGCCAAGAGAATTGCATTTTTGGTAATATCAGCCTGTACTGAGAGAATAAATGTTAAAAGCTGTGATGCTGTGAAGTTTACCGTTTCATTCTAGCAACTTTACATTGTCACAGACCTACAGAAGTATCGGTGTAAATACTGGTGCTTTTTTAATAGTTTAAAATTGATGGAAATCTTGAACATTGGATTATTTTTTCTCCCCCAAACCATCCATGGTAGTGTCTGTACACCGAATAGTCAAGGTCAATGTGTTGGGGTTTTTTAAATAAAAAAAGTCCACAAGAACAAAGCAAGAAGCAAAACATGGTGCTACCATCTGATAGAGGTCAAACGACCTGTTTCAGACCCATAGTTGGAAGTTAATGCTCTAGCTACGTCAAAAAGCTCAAAGTTGCTCTAATGGTTGTGCTGGAACACACAAGTGAGACAGACTGTCGTATATGGCATGGAACATGCCTAGTGAAGTAGTTTATAAAACCAGCTCAATCCTTAGGCTCCCTATACTTATAGTCAAGTCACAATTGAAGCATGGAAACTTGGTGAGTCTCTAGTTTTAAGTTATGTAGTAGAAGCATTACACAGTAGTGGTGATAGCTTCTGTGCAACCAGGAATGGTATTTTCCAGTTTCTAGGACCTAGTTTAAAAAAACAAACCCAAACAGCAAAAACAGAAGACCATTTGCAATGTCAGTGCATCCTTCCTGAGGAGAACTCGCTGCCCTGACATGTAAGTTTCATGTTTGATTTAAAAGAAAATAAATAAACCTTCTAAGATTGGCTTTAGGATGCTGCATTGTATCTCCATGCATACTTACTGCTTTTCACAGCTATGGATAAAATCCTATTCAGAGTTCACCTGTCTTACCCCAAAAAACTTCCACAAGTATTATTTACGATAGTAGTAATTCACTGTGCTTTCATCAAGAAGCTTGTTACAAGATTGTTAAGTCTGTTTTACTACAACTGTTCTGTAAAACCAAGGTGTAAATTCTTTACCGAGCACAAATTAATTTGATTCTACCTTTCCAAAGCCATGTTTCCAGAATCCTGTATGATCTTTTGGCTGAAAAGGCCTCTTCAGATACATCACAGATCTGCAGATTAATTTGAAACTGTTTTAAACTCTCTCAAGTGTCATTTAACATTTCAAAGTAGAAAAATATTTAAATGCAGTCTTGCAGGATAAAGATAATATACTTAATACATTCTAGAATGTAAATCTGTTTTGCAAAAATTACTTGTTTTTTTCCTGTATAAAAACAAATCTCAGTTGTGAAATCCAAAGATTGAATAAAGCTGTATAAAGGGAAGGTTCTAAAACTGTATTTATTAAGTGTGTTTCAATGTTTTTCACATAAGGCTTTGAGGAGGACAAGTGCTTTCTTTGGTCTTCATGAGAGTTTGCACCCCAGAGCTGTACTGTCAGAGCAACAACATCCTCATTTCTGACTCTGGATGTAAGTAACTGGAGAAGGGAGGTGGGAACTGCAGATGAACATTCAGCTGCTGCAAGTGCTTGACTGTTGAATGTAAGCTTGGGGGGGGGTTAGATGTGTTTTAGAGGTTTTGAATTTGTGTGTGACGATGAGCTAGGAAATGTAACATACTCTGACTCGTTAAGCCTCCAGCTGCAGAGTTAAGGAAGAACCAGCACAGACAATGACAGGAAGACTTGCTCAG